TTATACAGTAATATTTACTGATGACGTTTCGAGCACAATTTATTGCTCATAATCATATCAAGGTAATCACACGACTTCCTAAATGAATCATCACTCATACCCGAAATATGGAAAATAATACTACCAATCAAATCAAGTGAAAATCAAGTGAAAAACAATGGAACTATATAAATGAATTTAGGAAGTCATGTGATTACCTTGATATGATTATGAGCAATAAATTGTGCTCGAAACGTCATCAGTAAATATTACTGTATAACACTGTGAGACTCTATCAAAATAAAATTTACCCATAATGGAATTACACTTAATTTATTCGTAAATATAACTGACACTAATTGCAGTATTAATGATTATTCATTTCCCCTGCCAGTTTCTTTCTTTTCACTAACGGCATTTGTATAAATATTGACCAATAACAATAATAGAACTGGTGAGAGTTTCACTCACATTCCGATTATAACTGATAAAGAAAATTGTTGTATTTAATATCCTTTTAACCAATAGGATTTATCCGCATTCACGGACCATATGTTTTCTCAACCAATCATTCGTTTCCTAGATTGAAATGAGCATGAAAATATAAGGTTTTTAAGTTAAATCACATCAAATATAAATACTTATATATTTGAATGGAAAAATAATAATTTAATTCTCTTATTATAATTATACTATGCAGCCGAATAACTTACTTCAGTCTGTTTCATCAACTTATTACTCCAGTTGCTCAACTGACAGTATGAAAAATATTCCGATGTGTGCGCAAAATTCATTTTTTGGGATAGCCTCTTTATTAGGATTTAATGAAAGGAAACAAGTAAATGAAATTGATCTAACAAAACTGTCTAACAGTTCAGAAAATTTATGTAAGTGCTTTGTTGTTGTTTTTTTTGCCTTTGTTTGTACTTATGGTATCAGAGTGCTAACTGTTTATTGAATATTATTGTATAAAATAGTTTATAAGGACGTATTTAAGATAGACGGAAACTAAGGATCATCTTGTTGTGTCGGTGGCACAGAAGTAGAATGCTTGCCAACCACGCCTCACGTGGTTTGGGTTTCGATCCCTGGTTACCGACTCACTCCTTTACCTCACTAAGCCTGTAATAAGATTGGTAAAGAGGGAAGGTTGGGCATGAGGTTTGCCAGCAGCTCTATCCCATAAAAATAAACACCACTGCTAACGGAACTTCAAACGTCTAGTCTAACTTGAAGCCTTATGTTCCACTAGAAAAGTCAAGGAATCAAATAAAAACGATAATAAAATATCATCTTAAGACATTCAGCTTGTTAAACTACTCATAAATTTTCCTAGATTAGATGGAAAAAATTAATGACTAGTGCCTACGGGTTTTCACTGAACTGTTTACATAGTTCACTACTTTCTTTCATGCTAGGAAGATGTTGCTGTTTTTTTAATATTTTTCAGAGAAATTTTAGCCAACCAACCTCACTGCTCTTCGTCACCTTAGAAATAAAATAGTAGCATGTGTCACTTAAGTCTTATTAGTTTGGAATGTGAAGACTGTTGTTACTGCAACGACTGTTATTCACAGATAATGAACTGTACGATAGTAGATTGTATATGCAGCTGAAGATGATGATATCTTGTTAACACCTATGTGGCAATGAAATAAGTGAGCGACAGTCTGTGAATTATAAAAGTTATCTAGATCATACCAGTGTATGTTTAAAACCTTTCGAACGGAATTAGTTTGCCTGGTAAGTTTAAATTAGCAGAAATATTTAGCCGATACGCGGGATATATATGCATAAAACATTTGAAGTGTGAAACTCTACTAGGTTCAGCAAATAATAATAATAATGATTTCAACTTCAAAGTGGTCTTGAAACGTTTAACCCTGAGGGTAATCGGATTATTCTTGACTAGTATTTATTCAGCCGTGAAACTATAAGTGGAAAATAAAAAAATAGACGTCGGAATAACAGGCAACATTAATGTTAATAATTCGATTCATTAACTATATCACATTTCATGGTAAAATTACATCTCACCCCTGATATGATTTGATAGTTAGTGTCTAGTATGGCGATCTAGTAGGCGCGTTTATTTAAAAGTCGTCTGTTCCATATACATGCGTTTTTCACTAGTGGCCTACAAGAACCATCTATTATGCAACATGAAAGTTGCAATCAAGAGCACAATCGAAACGTCTGTACTAGAAGTCGATCATTTCGGTTCAGTGAATACAACGAACAGGAAATTCAAAGTTTTAATAAACACTAATTTCAGCTTGTTACTGAAATTTTATCAGATAATACTACAACGTCTCAGGACAACACATATACTCATAATAGTGGTCATACTACAGATACAGAAATACTACAGGATACAGAAATAATGCTGAACTATAATGGAAGAAACAGGGTTTTATAATATGACTTGTTAATGGTTGCCAGCTAGTAATAAATAGAATTTGTTTGGGACCAACTTCGGCGTGAAGGCGCACCTATAATCTGGCATAAACCAAAGTCGAAACTCTACTTAGCTGAGTTTAGAGACCTCCTAAATTCCCTGAATGTCTGCAAATTAGGCTGGAAATATCCACCAACATATTAAGAAGAATAGTCTTCAGGTAGAGCTGTTGGGACGCTCGCCGACTATGCACATTGTCCGGGGTTCGATCCCTGGCCACCGACGCACTACTTTACCTCGCTAAGCCAGAAATAAAGCTGGTAAAGAGGAAACGTTAGGCATGTGGCTAGCAACCCATCTAGCTTGAAGCCCTATGTTCCACTGGGAACGTGAAGGAATAAAAGAAAAAAAGGAAGTAGATCTTGTTGTATAAATCACGCGTCTAACTCAACTGGTAGTTAAACATAGGCGGTATGCAAACTATCCTATTGCTTGAATGCTTGTTATCTGGCTAATAAATAACTTCTTGCTTCATCCGGTTTCCAGACATATTTAACTATCTCTGTTCAAATTCATTGGAATCACTTTACAGGAAACAGATAACTGACTTTTAGTTTAACTTTCTGTGTTGTTGAGATGCCAGGCAGTATTGAAATTATCTTTACGCTGAATACGTTATGCATCCTTTCTCAGAGGGAATACTTAATAAAACGAATAAAACTAATCTTAGTACTGACTTTATAATCGTTACCTTAAAATCTTTATCTGTTGTTCAACACTTCAATTTTATTTCATTGATGCTTTCATCCAATTTGTCGCCTGCTTCAAAGTTAGAGTAGCTTTAGTGTCTCTATTTATTGTATGATGACAGATTGTGTAACGCAAAACGCAGCAGTGCTTGGCAGCAAAATTATGTATTAGCTGTAGGCAAAATAGGTCTACCATATATTCGAAACACAATTTGCGCATATCTTCCCTATTGTACTGCTTTATGTTCCTTTTATGTTTCCCATGCTATTTCATAGGCACTCTTCATTTCCTCCCTTCACCAGTGAATCGATCTCACTGGTATTAGATATTCTTGCAGATGATAAACACATTTATATCTGCATCTGTAATCTACACTTGTAAATCTTGTCACTAGTACATGCCATAGTACTAATTCTTCGAACTCAACATGGCGATAAAGTGAAATAATCATCAAGTCGTCTGAGTGAAAAAAAATAAATTAGGAAATCCCCATCATCAATTTGAATTATTTTACAGGATGGGGTTGCTAGCCTCATGCACAACCTTTCCTCTTCACCAGCATTATTTCTGGCTTAGCGAGGTAAAGGAGTGCGTCGGTGGCCGGGGATCGAACCCCCCACCATATGCATGGTCGGCGAGCGTCTTAACCACTGTGCCACCGACGCACTCTGTCCTGAATTAGTTATCAGCAATTGGTGTTTTTTGCCAAGACAGGATGTTTATGCTTTCTGATGCAAATGACTGGGGATACTTTTCACAGCTTCACATCACAAACACTGTTGCATAAAGTAACTTGAATTTTCAGGTAAGGTTTACTAAAGTAGACATAATTCTCTTACTATTTGGAAATCGTCGGCTGGATGTACTTAGCTACGTAATAAGTGATCATGTCCTCACTAGGACTCGAACCTAGCAGGCATCGTATCAGATGTCAGAGAGTCCGATAAATCCAATCAGAGGGGAAATTCAAATAAATAACCTTTGGTTCTCTTTACTAGTGCTTAAGTGTTAACTGTATAAAGATTATGGAACCAGATTAAATATCAAAAGTTTCTAATATTTTCCTAATATAACAGCACAGACATTCTTCAATCATTGAATTGCTTTCAGCTAACCGTAGAACATGTATAAAATCTGTCGTGTGTATTTCCAAATAATAGTGAAATTATTTCATGCATATTTCAGTACTTTATTAACTGCTAACATCTAATCAATTAGGCATAAATGGCGGTGTCGGGTACATATACTACGACTATCCCTTATACATTTAGCTTTATCTATCAGCTTTCATCCAGACTTAAAATAATGAAGAAAAATGGTTATATCCAAATGTGTATTTTCAAGATGTTTCAGATTACGACGTAGTGGTTAAGTGACGAAGTGCTTTCTTTGATAGTTATGACTGTGGTTTTTTTAAAACTTATCGCACCAACAGATCGTTAACAAGTTGCATTGAAATGCCCAAGAAAATTACTCAGTCGCATCAAGTAAAAAGTCTGTCTTGGTCCCGAATAGCAAAAAATAAATTTCACTGTTAAAGGTGAACTGGTACTAGCTGAAAGCAATCCACAGTAAATACAGTACTCATAGTTATTATTAGGAAAACTTTTGAAAATACTTCTATTATATTTTTAAATTTAACTGAGACAGTTATAATTAGAAAAAATGTCGTCACCAGGACATCATTATATAAATGGTGAACAGTAGGCATGCATACTTGAGAACTGTAAAACTTTATGCACCTTTAGGTAAATAAATTTTTCTGGAAATTTATTTAGAAATGATTAGAACACCTGTCTTTCTTATTCATAAGTGAAATTAATCACCTTAATTCTACTATGCAGTTACGACTTTGTCAGACGATTCGAATGTAATGGATTACATTAAATTAAGTGAAGCTCCTCAATGGTTCAATTCACAAATGAAAAGTAACATTCAAAATCACTCAGCTTTCCATGATCACGATCACTATTCCCTGAATCATCCGAAGCGGATAATTCCATCGTATAAGTTTATTGGTCAAATGGAAAATAATAATAATAATAATCAAATAAATACAAAGACCAAACCGCTGAAATCAAAACCGCTTCTTCGTCCGCCTACATCCAACACAGGGATTGAAACCTCTACAAATGATGCAAACAGTCTTACAGTGAAAACAAGGACGAAACATCAGAATCATGTCAGTCAGCATATTCATCATCACCATCATCAACATCATCATCAGCAGCAACAGCAAAATGAACAGCACTCACGTGATCGCAAGCATAGGCGTAATCGCACCACTTTTACAACTTTCCAATTACATGAATTAGAATGTGCATTTGAGCATAGTCATTATCCAGACGTTTTAAACAGAGAAGAATTAGCCGCGAAAATTAGGCTGCCGGAAGTTCGAGTTCAGGTAATTTTAAAGTGCCTGATATAATTTTTTTAAAATTTTTATCCCTTTACGTTCCCAGTGGAACGTAGGGCTTCAAGATAGAGGCTTGAAGTCTCGGTAGCAGCGGTGTCATATTTTTATTTTATTTACTTTACGGGATGGGGTTGCTAGCCTCATGCCCAGCCTCCCCTCTTTACCAGTCTTACTACCGGCTTAATGGGGTAAAGGAGTGCGTCGGTGGCCCGGGATCGAACCCCGGACCACAGGCGTGGTCGGTGAGTATTCTACTGATGTGCCACCGACGCAATATTATTGTTAAGCAAGCAGATATTCATAAGTGAATTGGTGGAATATATGCAGACTAAATGCATGATACATGCATGACTGCATTAAGTATGAAATTGGTTGCTCCACCCTTATATAAGAAAGCCGATGTCATTATCTAACTCAGTTAATCAGAAGGATTTATCTGTACCGTCAAATGAATTAATGTCCCATGGACTTACTCTGTCACTATGGCCCTCGTAGGCTTCCAGTCAGATCAACAGAATTTGATGAAAACTGAAGACTGGACCGGTTATAGATAACTCCACAGAAACTCGATACCACTAATCAAGCCAGGTTAACAGACAACTGGGTGTGCGAAACAATATAAAATAAACAAAGCCTAGAGATATTTAGGCATACAAAATTAAAGTAGTATAATTATTAATACAAGATTGTGTGATGTTTATTAAATAAGTGTATCATAGTTGCTGCTGATCTGAGTGGAGCCAATTTCTTTTCCTGAGGTTATTAACTGGAAATTTCTTCAGCCTCTTCATTTATCATTTGTATGAAGTGTATATAATCTTAGAAAGGCTTCGGGATGATTCACCATTGAACTATGCATGATAAGTGTCATGTGCCCACTGGAAATAAATTCTTCTGTAAATACCTAGGTGAGGTTTTTCAATCTGTTAGGAACATCTATGGTATATATGCCACTTTGGAATTAAAACAGACCATATATTCTTCAGTGATGCATACAATTCAAAGAAAGACAGACCTTTTGGATGATGATAACTAATGAGTAGTTTCCTCAGTCATAAATCCAGAGAGTTCTATCTTTGCGAAAACTACAACATTCCATCCAATATGGTGATAGAATTACTTCAGTTCAATTTAAGTAGGTGGTTGGGTGATTGATTAGTATCTAGCATCTTGTAACAATAACCCTGTACTTTAACACTCCAAGAAAACGCCTCAATTCAGAGAAAATAATACACATTAGCTGGTCTGCTTTTGTTTGTAGCTTCATCCAAACGAAAGTGGTTCTTTAGACGTCAATATTTTCCAGTCAATACAGAATTGACGTGTTAGTGATACTAAAAACAGGCAGTTTTCAAAGCTTTAATAATTTAGTCGGGATTTTCCCTAAGCCTTGTAATAAAAGATGTCGGAAAGCTGGTTTCTAACTCACCATTTATTATCTTACTTTTTACTAATTAATTTAGGTTTGGTTCCAGAATAGACGGGCGAAATGGAGACGTCAAGAAAAACAAGAGGCTATAATCCATACGAAAAATCTTGAAGAGGCGTTACCATATCTCAAAAAGCATAATATTAATAATAATAATACTACGTCCTCTGAGATGAATCCATTGAAAACAGAAATTCATCCATCAGACATTAATAATAAAACTGAATTATATGCTCATGATGCCAATAGTTCATTATACCAGGTCTCTCCTTATCTGCATGAAACGTATTTTTCGAATCCGAAAGAAGTTTACAGCATGTTACCAAATATTATAAATCCAATACAGTCGATGTTCATGACAAATGACTACCTAAAGTCACATCACTTAAATGATAGTTCTGGGTGAAAAAGAAATACTTCATAGCAAAATTTAACTTTATTAATAAACGTCAAATTGAATTACAAGAAAGAAACTAAAACAGAAAAAAAAACAAAGATTAATTTCACTGACTGGTTTTGAAAATACTTTATTCTTTCATTTTGAATTTACTTTGTAAAAAATGATTTTTCATCTGCCAATTTCAAGGTATTAATTCCAGTAATCACTCAGTAATTTCTGATTTTTTCATACTTATCCATCAAGTTTTCGAGTCATGCTGAAGCCAGCAAAGAAGCATAAATCTGCAATTGGAGGGAAAACTTAATTAGTGTTTGTGTATCCAAGTAATTCAATAGTCTAAAACTTTGATTTGTGCAGTAGCAGTTGGTGATCACCTGTGTAAATTGAATTTGTCGATTCTATTTTGCATTTTAGTAGTCTGTATGAAATACACTAAATTTATTAAACATACATCAAAATTTTGTCCATTTTGCTGGAAATCCTTTCACAATAAAAGTCATTAGTTGCTAGTTCACTTTTTTATCTTTGTTACCATAAGTCAAAGAGTAAGACTGCAGACGATGCAGAACATTGTGCTTAAATCAAATAACATCACCTCATCGGTTGTTATTGTGTCGTGGAAGATGGACAGAGGAATGATCTTTGGCAAGACTTATTGCCAGCGATTAATCTGTCTACTATCCAAGATCTTGAGTCCCTTCAGAAAATTTCTAACCCTGAAATGAGCGCAGAGTGAACACTGAAAAAGAAGAAGAATAAAATAAATCCTTTTATTTGATTGGATCTCTTCATTTGCATGCAGTCTATCATATATATAATTATAGTAAACATTATGAAGTTCATTTGACTATACTATCCAACTCGGATATTGTTCGTGGCCCTTTTCAGGCGTGTAAGGGTCAACATATACACTAAGTTTCTAATCTATCGCAAAAGAATTCTTAGAGGATTTAATAAAACGATGTTCTTGGGGTAATAGAACAGAAAAAAAAGTAATATTATTCTGTTTTGCCTTAGGTGAAATGAATCTTCAGTGGCGGTTGATAAATTCACCTCTAACTTGTACTAACTGAGTGGTATAATCTAGTGACAGAATGGATATGCCCAAACTGAAGGTTAGTCATAGTCACGCAATTAATAATCAATCATTTACTAGAAATAAGGCATAGTTTTACTTTAACAAGTGAAAATAAAAGGTAGATACTTTTTAATGCGTCAGAGTATTATTTCTTCACAATAACCTGGTTTTTTTACCAACTAAATGAAAGAAATTGAACACACTTTATCCTCTGGACGCAGAATAAGATCTAAGCGTAGTGTTAATAACTGCATTTTTAGCTTTCAAAAAGTGTGACGTCAAACCATTAATATAGCATGAAAGCTATGCTTATTAAACGGGAAAAATTTCTGCATAAGTCTGAATAAGTAATACAAAAGCAGGAAAGGAAAATCACCACAGGTAAGTAAATCTCTGTTTATGTCATTGAAATGTTCCTAAAACTTGGTGAATAGTCAAAATTGTAACCATAGTGGGGGGCGGGGTGAAAATTGGTAGGAACTAACAAGGGTTGCCTAATATGAAATAGGATGACAATGGGGACACGTGTCCAAAAAACAAGTTACGTAATAGGTAGAAAGAGTAAATAAAGGGTTGGTTAAGAAGATGTTACTAAGGTGCCATACAAAAATACAGAATACCAAAAAAACATTATTAACAAAGTCGTAGAACATGGAATTATATCCAAGTTAAGAGGAGGAGGAGGAGGAGGAGGAGGTGGTGGAAAAGTTTCATCTGTGTGCATAAATCAGGGTTTTCTATCCGGATCGCTAAGGTCTCGGCGATGTAAAGTATGCGGAAGCTTACCGTTTTTGAGAGGCTTCTTCTGACTCTATAAATGACTTTGAATGAATTCTCCGTGCATACTGAGTGACCAATGTTGACTATATGTTCAATTGTAGCACTGTTTATTGATCCACTGTTATCTATTCGTAGCCAAGCGGGAAAATGTTCTTTGAATCTTTTGGATAAAACACGCTCCTCATGAATAAGTAAATTGGTGGATACACATAGAAGTGGTCAAATGCGATGGTTTATCTTTGGAGTTGTTGAAAAACAATATTCTTTTCATGGCGCTAGATATTATTCTCTTTAAGATGTCGGCCAGACGGTCGCCTTTGAACGCCACATTCATATACAGCATCTTATTCGGCACATAGATGGGTTGTTCTTTGTTGATTTTAAGCTTTATATGCCTTTATAGCCATTCTCAAGTAGTGTCTATCAAGAGTAAACAAGTCATTTTGACAGACAACAAAAGAATGTCTTTTAAAGTCTCGGAGTGGCTATGATAATAAGTGACTCGCATAGCACTGTGAAATGATCCGGTAAAATGTCTGTCGTAACTTTTAATTCGACTTGATTTCTTCACGCTAATTTTTGTCGTGTGCTTCTCTTATAGCTTCACGGCAAGTGTTTACTGATAACCTTTACAAGAAAGATATTAGGATCCCTGATCAGTCATTATTTACTCTGTTGACCTTACATAGAAGGCAATGAAAACTTTATTTGTGGTTCAGAACGTTTAGTTTAAAAATTTAATTGTAGAAGTTGGACTTAAACCTAAATGTAAGTAAGTGTAAATTTACATAACTTGCTTACTTTATTAATTGTAGCATACTGTTTGAATATTTTAACTCATTCGAGATACTTTATGTGATAACTAAGTTCAATGTTTAGTCCATCATATATACATATATATACATATATATATATATATATATATATATATATATATATATATATATATATATATTGTACAGTTTATGCGCACAAAGTTGAAGCTACTAACCACAACTGTCGTACTGATAATTTAATTTCCTAAAAGTTAATGACCTACAACCGCATGCACAATAGACATTAACTTATTACTTTCATACTCAATTTGAAATCATTTAGTCAAAACACCCTCATCATTTAGAAAGTTATCGGATTATATGCGTTTGTCATTACACTATCTGCAGTTAGCCAGGCACACATTTTGTATTAACAGAAGACAAGGGTCAAGTAACAGATTGTTTATTAAGGAAATCAAAGCATATTTATATATTTTCATGTACAGTATTATAGATTATTTAAGTAAACAAACACAGTCTTCCGATTGGTTGTTTCTCACGTAAAGTTAATCTTTCATCTCTTTGTGACTGTTTCTTGAATGTCAGATCATCTATATGTTAACTGCATCCGTCTACGCAAAGTCTGTTGTGGTCGGTTTTGAATCAATCTTTGTTCACATTTTCTCACGATAAATCTTGGGAACGTAAATATTGACGTATATTACTGTCTACCAATTTGGCTAGTAGACAGCTCTCACCACAATTTTAGTTCTAAAATAAAATTCTCGAAACAGAACTCCTGCTTATGAAAATTGTGATTTCGTTTTTGCATAGTCTTGATGTTTCTGACATTTGGCCTGGAGGGAACACTTACGTACTAAAGTTACTCATATTACCCTTCCCGTTGAAGTGCAACCGCCTATTTTAGGATAGACATTCAACGGAATGAAAAACGAATAACCGAGTCTGAACAAACACGCTAGATATTAATCCATGAATTGTTGATGAAACTTATGAGCATCATAGCTTAAACCGGGCTTCAATAAAAGATAGTTCAAGTTACAGCTTCCTTGGATTTTACAGATTTTGACGGTTATTTTGTTCTCCATTAATGTATTGGACTATTTGTTAAGTAAGAACTTACTAAATCAAATATGTTCAATGATTGAGTTGTTATAATGTCATCCATGTGAATTCGATCTAATTAAATCCAGAAAACACCTTTTAGCTGTATGTAGTCATAGTTTACTAGACCGAATTTCATGAGCCTGACCCAGATATTTCAAAAAGAACTTGATAGTTACCAAATTATACCTTTTAAGCCAAATTCGCAATTCTCAAATTAATTTTCAGTTTTCAATTTGCACAATTCGACGCGAAATTTCACCACACTTTTATTTGGAATCAAAAACTACTAAGAACACAAATGTGATCTCCTTGATACAATACATAGTAATCAATAAAGCAAGCATAAATGCATAACTGTATGTACTGCTGATCGACTGAGATGAGCGGTTGTACGCCACTCACGCACCAACCAACAGTGCTTGCTAGGCAGGTCGAAATCATCTAAACACCACATGGTCGTTTCACTCGTTTGTTGCCGAGCTCATCACACTCATATATGTTGACATCTATTTTCAACCAGTCGAAGTGTATGAGACAACTGATCATGGAAGCGTGGTAGGAGTTAAATTAGAATTGCAGTACTGAACAACAACGCACGGAATAATGTAGATGCCTGAGAACTTTCGTCATCTAAACAATTTTGTAACCGTCTACGAAGACTACCATCTTAAGACTTTTGCTTCTGAAACTTTCTTATCGACATAACTGTATTTCCTGGGGGTATTTTATTTATTTTCCTCACCGAAAATATGTCTAAAACTAAACGTAGTGCTGGAAGAAGTACTCTGTTTTGTTGAAATGTCAGTAGATTTGTGGATGAAGTTTCCCCCACTACGCATAAAAAAATGAACAAATAAAATCATTACTCGCTAGCAATCTGCTAAAATAATATTAAGGGAAATTAAAGACTGAATGGTATCAAGGTCAAAGATAGGGAGGTTTGTACTGCTAATATTTATTTCAGTAGTTTGTAAATGAACACCTACCTACAGTTGAAAATAACGGGAAAGAAGGCTGTAAGAAGTTTTCTTTGATCACCGTAATTGTATCTTGTATTTTTACTGAGTAAGAAACGTTCTTAGTCGTCGAATGATGTGCATTAAATAAGACGAATCATTTAGGGCGTGATTTTGCAATAGTATATTATTCAGATCGCTATGTGTATCAAACATGCATACATTATATGATTAAGAGTAGTAAAATCACGCATTTGTCGCCCATGCACAGCACTGTCTATAAGTCAGAAAGGTAGACAAACCGCTATT